TGGTGCATATATTTGAATGATAGTGGTATTCACTGGACTTCCTTGTATGCGTATAGATATTATCCTGTCACTGACAATATTGTACTTCAAGACAGATCTAGCAATGACTTTTTTAACTATGAAAGCAACTCCATTTTTCCTCACTTTTTCATCTCCAGAGTATATATCATATGGTCATCCGACTCAAAATGCCCCATGCCAGTCCATCTCCTCTCACCAATGCCTAGTATGTCAATATTTATGCGTTCCCTTTCTTCCTCATAAATATCTAGTTTTCCTACATTCATGGTTCTCACATTCCATGTCCCAATCACCAGTGTCTGCTTACAACTGTTCCTGTTCCTTTTTATTTCCATACTTGAAAACTCAACCTCCTTTGCCATTTCTGTTATCTAAATGTGTTCTGTTGTACATAGGTTTAGTACTTCTAAAGTATTTCAGTTGTACCCTCATTGGAGGATGAAAGAAAAAGGTATTTCAAGAAAACTAAGCCAATGGTATGTCTGGCATTGTGGACAATGACCTGAAAAGTTCTCCTAATACATAATTCAAAAATCTAAACCTAAAAAGTATTTAGGTATTGAAGCACACAACTAGGTTAAAAGCATTTTCTCACACCCAAATGGCCTAATGATTCAGTATGTAAAGGCCAGGAGACATAGCTTAGTGCCTGCAGAAAGGAGAATGCCAGATCAGAGACCTATGCATAGATTACCAGGAAAAACAAGCAAAAAACTGCTGTGGAAATACTATAGCTTTGGAAGAAAGCGACCAAGAAGAGATTTCTGAAGTATCACAACCATGGCTTGCTCTATCATGATTCTGAGGTATGTGTTTTGCTGACTATGCAAAGGAATTTGACTGTGTGGATCATCACAAACAATAGGTAACACAGAGAAAAATGGGAATCCTAGAACATGGAATTGTGCTCATCTGAAGCCTACACCTAGACTGGGAAGTTGTCGTCTAAACAGAACAAGGAAATATTGCACAGTTTAAAATCAGGAAAGATGTGTTAGGATTGTATCCTTTCTCCATATCTATTCAATCTGTACGCTGAACAAATCATTCTGGACTCTAGAAAAACACAGCATCAGAATTGGAGGAAGATTCATCAACATCCTGCATTATGCAGATGACATATAACCTTGCTTGCTGAAAGTGAGGAAGATCTGAAATACTTGCTACAAAAGATGGATTGCATATCATCAGGACAAAAATCCTTACCACTGGATCAATAGGCAATAACATGACAGATGGAGCAAAGACTGACACAGTGACTGCAGCAGTGAGCTCAAAACGGTGTCAGAGACGATGAAGATGGCACAGAGTGGTACAGGGTTCAGATCTGCTATTCCTAGGATCACTAGAGTTGTACTTGACATAAGGCACCTAAGAACAACATTGGGTCTAGAGGAAGTTCTGGTGGCCCAGTGTTAAGTTGTTGCACTGCCAACCCAAAGGCAGACATGCACTTTGAATTCATCAGTCACTCTGAGGGGGGAAAGATGAGGAACCTCCCATGCAATTTACA